CTCACATTCCAAGTTTTTTAACATGGGAATTTATTGCAGATTAGAAGGGACTAAAAAGCATGGACATTGAGATATGTTCGGATAAGAGAGGTGTTTGGATAAGAGAGGTGTTCGGATAAGAGAGGTGTTCGGATATACAGGTTTTACTGTAGGTATAATAAATGAGAGTTCATCATGGCATAAACTTCAAGTAAAGAATATATTGTACCCCTATGTCAACATTTACAGCATGACATACAATCTCTGAAATTCAAACTAAGTTCAAAATGCCCCCTCTAGCAGCTGAATGTACAGTAAAACTTGTTAAGTGGAACACCTCTGTAAGAGGAATATGTTTCATTTTTTCCTGTTAAGTCCAGTTATCCATTTATGTAAATGAAGCACTGTATGTGGAACAACTTCCATGTGAAACAACTTCCAAGTGGAACATTATTTTGAGAACTAAAGGTGTTCCACTTAGACAGGTTTTACTGTATTGAACATGTGACACTCTTAAAATCCATTGGTTTTTTGCATTTTTAGTCCAAGCTTCAAACGAAACTAACCATTCACATATGTGCTTCTTTGCAATGGGAAAAAGGTGCATATTTAACTAATACTGAAGCATAATGCAAATTGCAAACCACTTTCAGTTTTTAAGTTTATCCTCAATTACAGGTTAGCATTTTTCTATGCAACACACATTTTATAATTCATAAGTGCATCCGAGGAGTATACAATCTCACACACACAAGTCGTAATTTGATTTGAAAACAACTGTTACAGTACATAATACATATCATGTTTTCCTCATCAGTCAGTTGTTTTAACTATTTGGCAATATATATTTCTAAAAGCATTAGAATACTGTAACCAATTCATTTTGGTGCTATTCAATTTTGGCATTTTCATTTTTTGATTTTTGGTGAATTATTAATTGGTTAGAAATCAGTTCATTCTAGTGCTATTGAATTTTGTTCATGAATTTCCTATGAAGGATTGGATTGGATTGGATTGAAAAGTAGTCATTAAAGATTACAAATGAGAACATTTCTTATGGTTGGAGAATGATGATTGAAATACCCAAATCACCAAAATAAAACTGGTTACAGTACTCCGGAACATAACATAATATACACATATTTAACGCATCTAGATTCCTTTTTTTTTACAAATATATGTTTTAAGGTGGGACCCGGTCCGTCAGCATACCCAGCACGATACTATTGCTTAATTATTAATGTAGTTTTTCAAGCTCAAAGACACCCATACATACGAATAATTATGATATAATAATAATACAAATGTATTTAAATATTCATGTACGAAGAAATATTTGCATCTTCGGGCATTTATAGTTGGGAGATTTAGCGTATTGCATTTGGAATATTTGAGCGCTAGTAACGTCATGGTTTCTATGACATGGGAAAACAATGGCGCTCAAATTTTACGTGCAGCATCATGAAGTATATGGCGATGAATGATTGAATTTTTCTAAGTCATATTGTTATAATTCTTTCAAAATATAGTAAAACTAATTAATCTAAAGCACATAGTTTGTTTGTTCTACATTAACAACATATGAAAACTATGATGTGATATAAATACTAGTTGAGTCCTGATCACTGTGTACATGGTTACCGACACGTCACATCTAATGTTGCTCAAAATATAATTATGTTTCTCGTCGCACTATTTATATTTGTAAATACGTATTACTCTGTATTTATCTTTTATAAATTCAAAAATGATTTTTGTTCGTTTTATTACTTCGTAAAATTGTATATTCTCTTATCTGTAAAACGTTTTAGATTATCCTTTTTATTGGCACGACTTTCGTCCTAGTTGTTATCACTTTCGCTTTCGTATGAGCTTCGTCTAGATATATTTTTCTTTGCCTTTTTTACACTTTTTATATATGAATTGTTAATTCGTCATGCTAAAATGTGCGATAAGAGATATCTTAACATCCGAGAATTTTTAAAACCGAGTGCAACTGGCCCAATGGCAACACAATCAATGCCCAATGTCGGGAAGAGTGCAATAATGAGTGCGAAGGGGCGTGTCCCCAGGCGTGTTATATGTCGCCACTTGAGTCCCCGGGGTTGATACAAAATGCTGTATAGGTTTACGGCGACGATCGTCGCTAATGAAGGCGTTATGAAGGTATGTACTTAGAATTATTATTAAAATGAAAAACATACTGGCAAGTTACGTCTGTGAGTCCTTCACAATAGAGTGCCTACACAACAGGCGGAAAGTGGCTTGAGACTGCAAAAAAGCCGAACAATCAGAATGCCTGATTTATCAGTATGTCCTATAAGCGCATACTCTTTGATTCTCGAGAAACGTCTCCACGCTCGAATTTCACCTATCTATCACTAGTGGATCGCTTAAAAAGTGATACCATCGAGAAATGTGTTTGGTCAGCTTCTCGATGACATTATTCTTTTCGAAATCGAGAGAAATAGAGAAGAAAAAGATCGAGTATGTGCCATTTCTAAAACGTCGAGTTTGAAAACCTAAAAGTGGATTCCGACTGCAAGAAATCCGACCAATCAGAAAGCAGCATTTCTTAAGTGAAACTTGGAATTCAGGCAATCGGCTTTACTCTCGATTTAAATGTTGAAGTTAAAATAACTATCAAGCCGTTTTCTGTTTCCCTGTACTCAGAGTCTAGTTATAAACTAGACGAAGCTCTCTTTAGAGAAGCGGGCTGAAGAGTAAAGTAATGTATGGTTTTCCATAGGATCTTTTATGTTTTGTACACACTTCATTGTAACTTGTGTACTCATTCAGTGAACTCAACCATCGTACTTGTTGCCGAAGACATTGGGTACATCCCGATCGCGCTATTTATTTTGTCATTCAATAATGACGATCATACCACAAATGATATGCTTGACTTTTTGTTGTACGCGAGTGCCGACTTCTTGCTGATGAAAGGTGAGTTGACAAAACGATATTACACATCAACAAGCGAGAACAACGTACCGACGTTTATTAACTTGTACGTACATCAATAGTACTCGAGCCTTATTGTAATGTATTTTAACTAAATCAAGTCAGACGTGCACAGTTTATTCGACAAATAAGGCTTTCTGATTTAAATATTAACCGGTGATTACAAACGTTTGGTTTGAATTGCCAAAGTGCGCGATCGGCGGAGCTTCTGTTTGCACATCATGAAAAATCAAAATAAAGAAGGGCCATAATAATGGGCAATACTTACCTGAAGATAAAAAAGACGATATGATTCAATGATATGATTTGACACAACGTATACGTAATTAAATCTCGGCACATGAAGAAAAACAAAAGTTTCCTTTTACTTAAATCAATACTTAAAATAGCAGGTAGATGAGGCGATAATTTAATTAATAGTTAGTTAATTTGCGATCGGCCGCCGTTGATTTAGCACGTTATTTACGGTCTTTGTACTAGGCCTATACGACGTCCTTGATTCTCAAAGACTGTGGGACGCTTAACTTTAGTGGTAGTAATTCATACCGTTTGACTTATATTCAAAATCAACTAACTACATTTGATTTAGCAAGGCTAAACCCCATTGTCCTGAGAATCGTCTTTATCTTTGTCGGATCATTCAGGTGAGAAATTTATGACGTAATTCAATTGTTCTCTCCGCCAACGGATGGAATTGGATGCCGGTATTTTCTCAAAATACAAGGTACTTTGACTGAATACCCTGACTACAATTTTTGTAATCTTTTTACAAAAAACTAACATAAGCATAATCATATTCCAAATAAAGAAATGTTGAAATTAAAAAAAAATCTATCGAGCCGTTTTTCTGTAGATTGAGATCTCCCGAGGGTAAAGTAAGTGTATGGTTTTCCCATAGGATTACATGTTAAATATGACAATTTAATCAGCATAGGCTCCTCAAAAATACGATCTTTGAACCTTGCTTACTATATCTAAACTTATTTTTTTCTGTTTAAAATTTCTACAGCATATGTACACCACTTGTTTACATACACTGTGCGATTTTCAGGAAAATCTATCGAGGATTTTTTTGGGCTGACGGACCAGGTCCCACCTTAACAAGCAACTAGTTGCAATAACTTAAGACTCAAGAAGTGGGATAATATGCAATAACTAAAATTGTGAGCAAGGATGTAAACATACAGTGTAAAATCTTGGGGAAAATCCCCTGGACGGATTCTGATATCATTGTATTATCTACATGCTCAGTTTAAGTGGAGCCCTGTTTGTATAGAGCTCAGTTTATATGGAGCTCAATTTGAGTGGAGCCCAGTTTATATGGAGCTCAGTTTAAGTGGAGCCGTGTTCAGAGCTCTGTTTCCAGTTTATACTGTACTGAGCTCTGTTTGAGTGAAGTCCTTTTTATGTAGAGCTTTGTTAAAATAAGTCCCTTTGTAAATGGGAAGCCACATTTATATATATATATATATATGTGGCTCAATTAAAATAAGTTCTTTAAACATGGCTCAGTTATAACTTGAAATAAGAGTAATAAGTGTCCCCCCATTATATATACGTATATATGCTATAGACTGTTTTTAATCATTTGGTTTATGCATCCTGTACCTGATAGTTTTTGAGACCATAGTTTATACTCTGTGTGTTATAAAGTCTTATATAATAAAGACATATGCAACATGGCAATTCTGCTTTAAAATACACTGGTTAAGCACTAACTTCACATCACTTTTTCAGTATTTACAATTACAGTTTTTACAATCTTCAAAAATATTTTTTATATTTATAATAGCTATAGAAATGTTTGGTTTTGTACCCAGAGCTTTTATAAATATATCTATGGTCTACTGGCAAAGCTCAATGCATATCTTCTTTCATATATTCACCTATCAACATATACAGGTGGATATGAAATCAGCTTTGTATAGCTCTAAATATACATATCCAGAAGGATATGAGATAACAATATTAACCCTCAAATTATTACATTAACATGAGATAAACTCAAATAATTATAATTAGGTGGATATGAAATAAACCCTTCAATCAATATATCGAGGTGGATATGAGATAAACTCTGTAAACCTTAACATAAAATATTATAATAATTAGGTGGATATGAAATAAACCCTTAAATCAATATCGAAGTGGATATGAGATAAACTCTGCTTCCTCTCAAATAATCCATTCCAATCCTAGATCCAGCTAGTTCAGATAGTTTTATTTAGTTTCTTATTTTATATTTCAGACTATTTCCATAAATCCTAGTCCCAGCTAGCTCTCTTTATCCATGGGATATCAGGTTATCTATTGCTGGATATGATCTTTATCCCATTAATATTGAATATAAACACATATTTGAAAACATGGTTTATATTGAACTTTGACAGCAGGGGATAAACACTTAGTGTGTATGCACCTTTGGATACCATGTATATCCAACCCCTCTTGAGAGGCTGTTTTAACAATGCTCAGCATATCCCAGCAAATGTGGATAATAACTCCATGTAATAATACTGCACTATCAGCTGGATGAACCAGAGGATATAGTCCTCATGAATATGGGCTCTATAGGAGGGTTGCGTTCCATGGGGATAGGGGCCAGGGGTAGAGACTTATTCCTGGCGGCAGGTGACATATCATAATAGCCACTTTCAACTAGGACACTTTCTATAATATTCTGCATGGTTTCATATGTTAGGTTACTGTCGGCATGGGCGTGGTCATACTTGCTCTTGACTGAAATAAATCAATATCCAATTTATTAAACTTTACAAATGAATTCTAGACTAAAGTAAAAGCTGTCTAATCTGAACATCATGAGGACCAACCAAATGTGTTCAGAGTCACAGGTGTTCACATTTTGAGATATTTTAACATGGAAGTTCATGGCAAAATTAGAAAGGACTGAAAATGAAATTTCACTTTACAATAATTCAATTTCTAAACAATTCATAAATAATTCATATGAAAGAAGAGATAAAGTCCTTACACATCCATTTTCAAAGGAATTCGATATCTAATTAGATATTAATATTTTTCCAAAGAAAACTTAAATAATGGATGAACAGCAAAATTGCATGCAAAAGTAAGATAACTCCAAGAATCATTTCACAAGATATTGTTTTTTCATAGACATAACAATACCCATTTTCAAGTTAAATTACAGTTTTGTAACATTCCCTATAAATACCTGTTGGTTTCTCTGCCTTAATACTGATTGCTTCTTGTTCTATGCTGGCCTGGCGGGACAAAATGGGGGCCTCGCTAGGACCAAAGTTCAGATCTATCAACTCCCTCGAACCTATCAGCAGCTAAAAGGAGAGAATGGATGATATAATCAATTCAACTTTACAGTATACATGGGTGGAGCTAGGCATGAGGATACATGGGTGGAGCTAGGCATGAGGATATATGGGTGGAGCTAGGCATGAGGATACATGGGTGGAGCTAGGCATGAGGATATATGGGTGGAGCTAGGCATGAGGATACATGGGTGGAGCTAGGCATGAGGATACATGGGTGGAGCTAGGCATGAGGATACATGGGTGGAGCTAGGCATGAGGATACATTGGTGGAGCTAGGCATGAGGATACATGGGTGGAGCTAGGCATGAGGATACATGGGTGGAGCTAGGCATGAGGATATATGGGTGGAGCTAGGCATGATGATACATGGGTGGAGCTAGGCATGAGGATACATGGGTGGAGCTGGGCATGAGGATATATGGGTGGAGCTAGGCATGATGATACATGGGTGGAGCTAGGTATGAGGATATATGGGTGGAGCTAGGCATGAGGATGGCTCGTCAAAGTTTTTTTGATAAACATAATATTCAGATTATATTTTTCTGCCAACTGTGAAAATGATGTCCAATATTAGCATTTTATCCTTGTTTATTTATCCTATATTTGTCTCATCTATTCTTTACCTAATCTATTTCCAGCTGAATAAAATGGAGTTGAATGGAAAATAATTCTTCAAATCACAGCTTTAATTATCAAAAAATGATAATTGCAGAAAATGTATACATAGCCTCAACTAAAAAACAATTTAGAAAGAAAATCTAGTAATATTAATCAAAGGACGATTCTCGGTTTGGAGAACAGTCTCCTGGGCTAATAATTTTTTTCATGAAAAATATAGAAATATTACCCAAATTAAACTATAAATATTCAAAAGAGGACATTTAAATCTACAAGATGTAAAAATAACAAATTGGTCTGAAGCAGGGATAACGCTCAATTAGACCGATTCAATAAAATACAAGTCTCGATTTGGGGAAAGAAGTTCATCAGTGTACTGCGCTAATATTTTTTGGCGAAAAATCCAGAAATATTACCCAAATTAAATTATGATTATTCAAAAGAAGACATTCAAATCTATATTATGTAAAAAAATCAAACTTGTCCGAAGCAGGGATAATGCTCATTTAGATTGATGAACTTCGTTCTCCAAACCGAGAATCGTCCTTTAACATGTTAGACATTATAACTAGAAAGTTCATACCTCACCATGAAAACTGAAAATATAGAAAATAAATAATTGACTTACTTTTTTTAATTCATTTTTCAAGTTGAATGAGGTACTCTGTGGGGCAAAAAGGGCACGTTTAAATCTCTCGATGACACGTCTTCGTGGATTGTGACATAATGTTGGCGGAAGCTGCGTAATGTAGATGACCTTATGAAGGATGTTTAGCATTTGGAGGATAGGGTCGCTAATTTGCCGGACCTTTCTTGGGGAGATTGTGAGAGTTGCATGGTTGTTAGTGGCACTCACTGGAAATATAATCAAACATAAAAAAAGAAATGGTAGAACTACTAATACTTTGAGACAAACATGGGCGATCGAGGTATTTTGATGAAAATTCTCTTATTTCTTAGTTCTTTTCAGGAGTTACATAATGATTTTTGCACAAACAAAATAAAATATATTTGGGCACAAGTCAGATAGGTTTCATCGAAAAGGGAGTTTAGGGGAGGTAAACGTTTTTGATTTGACTATAAGAGATCATCTGAAGGTCTGAATAACTTTTCGCCATGGTGACCAAAAATGACACAATTTCAAAAATCAAATTCCTCGTTTAAGCTGCTAGATTGCAAGGTACAATGTACTCACCTGGGCGTAACTTTCCACTATTTGACCCTCGTTTCTCCACACTGCTCATGCTTGACGATTTATGGAATGTTCCTGATTTGCCATCTGATGACTTATCCAACGTCCCTAATCCAAGGGCTCCACTTCCTGTAGGCAGCACCCCAGGGGAGGGGAGGGTATTGGGGGAGGGGTCCCCAGAGCTGAACCCAGAGTCTCTACTGGACTTGGCCGAATCTATGATGTAAGATAAATAGTAAATAGTCCAATTGAAAATGACAATAAATAATTTAATTCATTTATATCCAGTGTAGCTAATTAAAACTTGACTTAATCAACATAATTTCTGATTTAGGGACCATAAGAAACCGCATATACTCACTTGTATTGGGAATGTCAAGGGTGAGCTGCTGAGACAATTGTGACATCATATCTAGTCTCCGTCTGCTTTTTCCTGACCTTGGGGTGCCTGGACCTGGAGGCCTGGGAATACTGCTGCTAAGGTTCATTCCTGCATAACAGAAATAAAAATTGCATTTTGTTACTGTTTCAATTTGGCAATAGTGTTGATCTAACCTTGTCAAACTTTATTATCTGGATTATTTTATGTATTATATATATGAAATAAATGATTTTTAAAAAAATTAGTATTTTCATTCGCTAATCTTCTGTGTTAATCGTTTTCTACTACACTGAATTCCATATGTTGGGATTGTGTGAGATATTCTTCCAGCGCAGAAGTACAGAGCAGGGCACATTGTCATTTTGGACACAGTTTAAGCTAGTTATCTATAGAAACAATTAATGCAAATTGTAAGATGAAGGAAAGAAATATACATTTTGGATAACCAGTGGCTAAAATAATGGTCTCACCTAAAATATTGTGTGTACTGCCGGCACTACTTTCTCTGCTGTCACTGCCACTAGTGGAATAACCTGCCTCATCATCACTCATCCAACCTACAAAACATCCACCAAGAATATAGTCCTGCTGTTGAATTGATGGTGGATATCCACTTATAGTGATTGCAATACACTTAGTAATACCACATTATAAAATAACTAGGAGTAGGGTAAAAATATAAAAAAAACTCAGACAAGTTACAATAAAAAGTTTAAAAAAATAAGAAGCCTCATCTCATCCTCTATAAAAGATACATAAAAATACTGAATACTGAATTTAAATATTTGAAACATCTACACAAACCTCAAGGTGGACATTCCAGTTTAACAAATAAATCCATACTTCATAAATATTTCATTTTCACCTGAAATCTTATTACCAGACTACTGGTATAGTACAGTAAAACCTGTACATTAGAATACCTCTCAATGTGAACAGTTTTTCTTTCTCCCAATTTCATAATCTTCTATTGATTCACATATTAAGAACCCTTGAAATGTGAACACCTGCTAATCTGAACACTTTTGACAAGTCACTGTGGCATTCAGATTTTGACAGGTCTTACGGTAATGACATTTCCAAGGGGACATCCTACCTTTATCATTGTTGTTTTGATCATCTTTAAGCTCATCTAATCGTGGCATCCTTCGGCGCATTTCAACAAGATTTGACTCAGAATCTGAAAAGACGTTATCACTGAGATCACCGTCTTTGATACTTGAAGCACCCCCGCTGCTCTGGAGGTTGATGAGTTTGTCATAGCGCTCCTGGGACGCAAGAAACAACCTATGGTAGTTCTGCATAACTTTGTTGGCCTCGTTGAAATGCCTGCAATTACAAAATTTCAGTTTTATTTATTATGTTAATTACAAACATTTATCATTTATTCGACATAGTCATGAAGCACAACTTCTCATACTAAACACATATTCCTTTGCAATATTACATCGGATCTTATATTCTCATAGAATATTGCCTTTGCACATACACTGTATATTCATATACTAGAATAATAAATTTGAGCTTTTATACATGTATTACCTTTGTGTTCTCTTTCTCTCTCGTTCTAACTTTTTCTCCATTGCCAACTGATGTGCCCTCAGTGTGTCCATCTGTGACATCATCACATCTGCAATCTGAGAGGCCACCTGCACGATATCTGGGCGCAGCTGTGGATCAGCAGTAATACAGCTGAAAATTGCAGAATATCATGAGTAAAAACCTTTTCTGATTTCAATGTTCCATAATGTTTCAACCAATTTTCAAAACATTTCAATAAATTCTTCAGAAAATCACGAATCCGATTTTCTGAAAATTTTAAACAGGGTGAAGTGCCAGTAATAACATCTTTCTCTATAGATAGCAAAAACCCATCAAGAGAAGTACCATTTATTAGCAGTAGTGGTGTAACCAGGTTGATGAGATGTGATACAGACATTTAATTGTAATTTCTTGGACCACCTGAAGAATCCATTAACCTCTTGACTACTCAGAGTGACGAGATTTCCCGTCACCTCAGAAATGACCTTGGAACCCAGAGTGACGAGATAATCCGTCACAAAATATTTCACTAAAATTGCTCTTATTTGAACAATTTTTATCCAATTTACACAAAAATTGTTTTAAAATGTCTAGAAATGATCTCTGCCGTTTAATTTTACTAAATTGAACATCGTCTGTTGTATACGTATGTAGTAAAATGTCAAAAGCTGGCAAAAATGAAAAATAATCTGGTTTGAACCCATTTTAGAACCTGGGACTCAAGAGGTTAATGGGCAGACAAGAAAACAATCATATGTTGCGTAATTACCTTTTTACAGTCTGGATGACCCTTTCCGAATATTCCCCCTCTGGGATAGGTTCATACTCTGCGTCTACAATCTTGGTAGCAAGAGACAGCATATTTGATGAGTAGAAAGGTGGTTTCAGGGTGCACATCTGGTACAGGATGCACCCAATCGCCCAAACATCTGCCTTCTCACCATATGGCTGGCTTTGTACAACCTCTGGACTGTAACAAAAGATACACATTAAATAATGGATTTTCAATTCAGACTGTAACAAAATATTGAATAACACAGACTAAATAATAGAATAGGACAACATCTGGGTTAGGGTGATTTGGGTTTAGTTGGGTTATATCACAAAAAGGAAGTAACGGCAGAAACCAGAACTATGGATTATTGAGCCAGCTCTACAAATAATTGTCATTTGAAAATAGACGTGATTCTTTATTTTTGATTTACTTTAAAAAGAACTCCTGTATAATTCATTTTCTTTTTCTTCATATTTTATGTTCTTAAGTGAATCATCTTTGCACCAAATATTGACAATAAACTGGCTTACCAAGAGTACAGTATCGTTCCAACCACTGATGTCATCTTACTGCTATCTTTCTGCTTCTGTTTGGCCAATCCAAAGTCAGCTGGAAAAGCAGATGAAAACATTCAATATGACAAGTTTGGAAGAACCTTTTGCAAGTTAGCTATAGTACCAATGCTTCTTAGCTCATATAGGATTGTCTCTCCAATGAAACAGATATTTTCTTGAAATCTATATTTGTAAATATAAGCAATAACCAATTTGAAATTAGGAAAAAGAAGGACTGTACAAAACTTTCAACAAACTTATAAAAACTGATCTATAACTATCACTTTAGGTGATGTCACAGTGCATTGTAGCCTAAATATAACTACATGTATTACATGTCTCCATGTATTACTAGATGGGTCTGTTTCACCTGGTTTGGTTCAGTACTTACTAATTGTGACTTTGTCATTTTCTCCCAACATTATATTGTTTGGAGTGAGATCTCTATGAACTATGTGTTTTTCTTTATGTAAATAGCGTAGTGCCAGCACCATCTGAAAATAGGAAACATTTTATTTTCAGACACATCATACAGCAGGCTACTACATTTGTAATTATTTTTCCGATTATATTATGTTTGAAGGAAGAATATGTACACATTTCTACATCTAAAAAATTAAAATAAATGTATCATTTGGAAATATATCGCCAAAGCAATTCAGTGGATGTATATCCAAGAAATATCCCTCCATTCATTGGCAGTATAAATACTACAATATAATTGGCTTTTGAGATATTTTTGGGCATATTTTTCCATAATTTTTTTTACATAACACAATAATTCATCATAGGTAGCCAAGTTTTTCCCATTTTATGTACATCTTATTTGGATTGTCACTTAAGTAATCCTGTTTTGAAAAGACTGAGTAGTCTTGCTTTGAGTAATCCGAGTAGTCTTGTGGATTGAGTAGTTTTGAGTAGACTGGTTAGTCTAGTAGTCTTGCTTTGAGTAAACTGAGTAGTCTTGTTTTGAGTAGACTGAGTAGTCTTGTTGTTCCAGGATCATATTTTTAGAAAGTATCCTAGATATTGTTGTCATAACCTACCTGAATAAATATATTCCAAATTCTTGGTTCAGAGAATTTCTCTCCTTTTTCCTTGAGACTGCTAAAATGCTCGCCTATAGGGGCGCCCTCTATCAACTCCATGAGGATGTACAACTTGTCATCTGTAAATAAATGTATAGAATGTATACAAAGGAATCTGCTCAGTAAGGAATTTTCAAAATGGCTGCTGAAATCAAAACTGTCGCCATTTCTGAGAAGAAATATTAAAAAATCATTACTCTCCAGTTTATAAATGTATAACACAGAGGAGTTATAATTCTGTCTAACTGTAGATATAATCTTTAATAAACAGAACTATCATACTAATGCCACAATGTGATTGAAACTAGATAAAAAAAAGCTAAAAATTAAGACTGTACCTTGTGGGAAGGTCTTGTAATATCTGACAACATTTGGATGTTTCAATTGCTCCTTGATAATAGTAAGCTCACTAATGATCTCCCCGATACTCTTCTCCTTCTCCCTCGTAGTTTTACCAAATGTAGGATTCGTCGCAAATATCTGTGAAAAAATTATAGAATGCCAATACAATTCCAAGCATAAAGAATATAAATCATATAAATGAGCAATTCTACGATATTAATTATGTGTGTGTAGTATTCTTATTTTCTTATCCATGTTTTAATCAATCAACTTAATTCACTAAAACATGTCTTATACGACAATACTATAGGTTCATTTACAGTATAAGTCAATGGGTTTAAAAAACAAGGCACAAAGCGCTCCAATCCGAAAGATGTTCACCTTGCAGATTTTACTGTAACACTTACAAAATAGAGTTAATCCCAATCTTCTATTGATTTTGTCCCAGATTCCATTACAAAATGTATTTATTATGTAAAGTGCAGTACCTCTTTCAAAGCCATGTACGTCTGTCCTGCATTCTTCTTCTTGACTTTGTAAACTGATCCAAATGCCCCTGTCCCTAACAGCTCCATAATTGCGTAATCCCCGATATATTTGTTCGGTTCTTTGTTCTGATTGGTTGCAACAATACGTTCTTTTATCTCTTCTATCGCATCCTCCTACACAAAATAAATTAAAAAATGAATATGTTTTTCACATTGATTTCAAAAGTTTTAACAATGGATTTCAATGGTTTTTACAATGGATTTTCAAATTCTTAGAATGGTCAATAAAATGCACCAGAGTAGATGTATAATATAAATGCAGTAATAAAACTACATAACATGCAAAATGTAACTACCTGCCATTTGTTACAGACACCAACCTACAACTGCTGTTACAAAAACCAAAACCGATTGTTGAATACAATCCACAATAATTTGGAGACTATAACAATATGTCACTACTCCTGGACATGTAAGAATAAGTAACACAGAAGACTTACCCCAAGACTGTTCAATTTGTCGACAAGTCGTTTGTACTTTGACAAATCTCTTATGTAGTGGCCGATGTCTATAAACATCTCAAACAAGGAGGGTGGAAAAAGGCGTTTGAAAAGCCTCCTATTACGCTCCATACTGAAGAGAAACCTAAGAGCTCTGAACGCATTTGCCTGGAAGTAAAACAACATTTATAAATTATTGCAAACTATGGTTAGAGTTAAATGGCAGGTTTAATTATATGAAGCATTTTGACAAAAAAGCTTCATTTTGAAGGATTTTTAAGATGTTACATACACAGGCACAAAATCCTTTATTACAAAGCTATTTGTCGTAATGGAGCAATTTAACCCTTCTTTGTAATAGGTCCCTATAATAGGTTTCTTATAACAGGGTTACTATAAAACTGTCTTCATAAAATTGATTCGGAAAGGTCTAGAGTGTCAAAACCTTATTTGGATTAAAATTCTCCTGTGCTGCTCTTTGTGTTAATAACTAAAAAATATTTATAATTTGCTTCTGGACACATATAGATGGCGCTAATTGTTGACAAACCTGTAGCATCTCAACAGACTTCCTGTCTTTCTCTGAGTTGTAGCTCTGGGCAGGGAGAATGAGTATCGCTAGGGAGAAGACGCCATTGCTCTGTACAATCATCTGGGCATTTGTATCATTGAGAACCAGCTCAGTGAGAGATGCACAACACGCTGGAAGGGAACAATCGGTTATGTAGATGCAACATATTTAAAGGGAGGATGAGTATCGCTAGGGAGAAGACACAATTGCTCTATACAATCATCTGGGCATTTGTATCATTGAGAACCAGCTCAGTGAGAGATGCACAACACGCTGGAAGGGAACAATCGGTTATGTAGATGCAACATATTTAAAGGGAGGATGAGTATCGCTAGGGAGAAGACACAATTGCTCTATACAATCATCTGGGCATTTGTATCATTGAGAACCAGCTCAGTGAGAGATGCACAACACGCTGGAAGGGAACAATCGATTATGTAGATAGTCATGCAACATATTTAAAGGGAGGATGAGTATCGCTAGGGAGAAGACACAATACTCCTATTCGCGATAAGAGTTCAGGTGGTAATTTACATAAATATCTCCCATGATGCATCGCTTTTGAAGGGACAAATTTTCATTGGCCTACCGAACGAGTCGAATACTCTGAACGTTTCTCAGCTTCTGATCTTCCATCAGCCCTCAAGCATAATCAGAAAGATAATCGGAGATTCGAAGTAACATTATTGATATTTTTTCGATCTTCGATGAAGTCTGAGCAATTTGGGAAATCAGTGACGTCACTGAAATTGGACGGCATTTTCAACTACAGATTTCTTCGGATTTGGGGATTACAGTTCAAAAAGCCTTGTTATATATCTTAATTACATGCATACCTATCATTTGTGCAAATGCAACTCTACATAAATGTTTAATAAAGTCGCAGTGCGGCATTGAAAATAGCACCCCTGTGTAATCCAATGGGAAAGAACCCGGATGTACACGAAGTTGTACCGTACATGAGAGCTCTTCAAACGAGAGTTAACTAAACTGAACAAAAACTAAACGTTATCGCGTATTGGTATATTGCTCTGTACAATCATCTGGGCATTTGTGTCATTGAGAACCAGCTCAGTGAGAGATGCACAACACGCTGGAAGGGAACAATCGATTATGTAGATGCAACATATTTAAAGGGAGGATGAGTATCGCTAGGGAGAAGACGCCATTGCTCTGTACAATCATTTGTGTCATTGAGAACCTGCTCAGTGAGAGATGCACAACACGCTGAAAGAGAACAATCAATTATGTAGATAGTCATGCAACATATTTACAGTAAAACCTGCCTCATCTAAACACCATTAGGACTGGAGGTATAGTTACAAGCCCCTGTGTCCACCCCCCCCCCCTCTCACTACGTCACTACACAGGATATGAAAATTTCTCACACAGTGGGGAGGTGTGTCGTGGGAGGATGGGCACAAAGGCTAGTAGCTAGATTATAGAATGGCTGAAAGCGTTATACTATCTTGTGGCAGTCTTACACATTTTAAAATGAAATTCAACGTTTACACAGAACAATGCATCATGAATTAGACAAACACCGTACATGTTTAGATATTCTTTATATTTCGATTTAATGTGGAGTTTCAACAACTAACTTACCAGATTTTAAAGATAGTTGATGTTCCCGCAGTTCATCACCCTAGGTTAAAAAAACAAAAATATGATTAAACATTGTTAATGTCATATTGCTTATCTCGTATCGGGGCCTGTATTGGGGGAGGGGCTGGCAAAGTAAATTGTATTTGTCAATGTCAGCTGAAAAAGCCAACACGTGAAATGAAAACATGCTGACCATATCATTATTGCATGATGGTTATTCAAAAATAATGTTGGTTTCCATGGTAACAACAATTACAAATCAAAACAACAGCAAATGGGACGTGGTAGCTATAACAGCATAAAGAATATTTGGGCATAGCTTTCTTTTCATTAAAATCTCTCGCAGCTGAATACACAAATCTCACAGCAAGTTAACACTCCGAAACAATTCACTCAATCGTGTCATTCAAAAACCTCATGTTAGTAATAACATTTAAGGGAGTGAAAAAACATGTATTCACACTTAGCAAAACTGTCAGTTCTTCATCATTCAGTGTTAGTGGTTGGTTCCTCACTTATTAACAAGAGTCTCAAATGGATATAGGTTAAGTTAGATACATGTAATAATGAACATACAGGCCATGCATACAGGGTGACAAACATACAGGTTGGTCAATAAATTGGCTATTTACTGACACTTTGTACATGCAGATTTTTATTTTAGAAGTGATGCAAGCAACATGTATGCTAAACTTCAATTGAGAGTTAGAGTGACTTGCAAAACAGTGCAACTTGTACAGAGACTTGCAACACGAGACTTGCAAAACAAGACTTGCAACCAAAATGGTGCAGTTAATATACCTTCTTTTGACAATCTTTAACCATGCTCCAAATATCCTACATTGAAAAACAATCAAACTTAGGAATATAATTGATAAATAATTACGAAGATTCTACAAAATATTACAACATAACATTAAGTAGGGGACACCAGAGCAAGATGGGCTCCTGAACACCGGTCAATGAGCTTGGTGGTACTTTCTTGCCCCACTCTCCCCTAACTGTATCACACAGATGTAATATCTATGAACATGCATCGAAGCAAGCAAGCAATGAAGTTTATCTAATGCAGCAGAATATATAGCAAGAACTGTAGCAAACCATAAATCACTGAATCAAGCCATGGGCTTTCAATATTGAATGCCCATGATCAAGCAAATGAGTTAATAAATCAGTATTTGGCCTCAAAATGCCTGTAAATATCTAAATGCATGTAGTCATTCCTAATTCATTTCTTAGAATTCTATAAAATTACTGATCATCGCGTCCCTCCCCAAAATGTCAACAGATTTTAATGGGAAAAGAATGACCATAAACACGTTCTACATATTGACATGATTGATTAATTGTTGTTGATCTATTAGTCTCACCTCCTCTATCGTCATGGTGACAGCAGGTGTGCGGCCATTGACTGTGGCACTGGCGGGGCCTGTGGTCACTGTTGAGGACCTGTCCGTCACAAACTTTCGATCACTGAAAGTGAAGAGCCCTTTATTAAAAACCATGTTTCAGCTTGACAGCATGTTTTTCTGGATTTGACAAAATTATATTCCACATGCTGCACTTTTTAATTCCATATTTGTAACAGGGAAATCTGAGACAAATTGTGGTCCAAAAACTCTGTAAAGGAAAATGGAATAAATATCAGTAGAACATCTAAGACTCTATATAGCACTTTTTAGAGAAAACCAATTATATCACTACGTGTACTTGTATTTTGTATCCAAATTTAAAAATGATGGACACGTGTGAAGGAAGGCACATAGTTAATCATATTTTCCATAAAAATCAAAAAGGCCATCATACAGCTGATTTGCCAACTTGAGGAAAATATTGTACCATTAATTTTAGGAATGATAAAAATCACTCGACCCTAACAAGACTTGAACTCAGGACCTTTGATTACCAACTGTCTAACTTACTGTAAAAGTGACAAGATAATAGGAATCCCTCCCATCTGTCTAATATCATTACTAGTGTCCTGATCCTCAGCTAGTTGGACAATACACCAGACTACATTCCATAGCAGCTTTACATTGTCACTGTGTAGGAGGCTAAGCAGTATAGGGACACCATCATAGACTTTCACCATCTCTTTCACTTGATCATCTGCACAGAGTGTTCGCAACAAGTTGGCAGCCAGTCTGAAATGTTGTAAGACATATGTTAACGAGTTGGCAGCCAGTCTAAAATATTGTAAGACATGTATTAATGAGTTGGCAGCCAGTCTGAAATATTGTTAGACATATGTTAACAAGTTGGCAGCCAGTCTGAAATATTGTGAGACATATGTTAACGAGTTGGCAGCCAGTCTAAAGTATTGTAATCATAAATTAATATGTTGGCAGCCAGTCTAAAGTATTGTAAGTCATAAATTAATATGTTGGCAGCCAACATGCTGTTCAAAAATCAAATAAATCTGGTGACCAGCTCTGAAGATATTGTGATTGAATGTGTAAAGTCAACAATTTTTGTATAATTCAGACAAAATAGAAACCAGAACAACGGCAACGCCAAAGCGTAGCGAATCCCATCGAACATTTTTCAAAAGGGGCACCTTCTACCAAAAGTGTCATTAGACAGTGTGCCATGCTTATAATATTCACATACCGAATATGAACAAAATCGCTCTACTACTTTTCGAGTTATAGTAAAATACGTTAAAATGGTGGCCATTTTGAAAAATGGCCGCCTTCTACCAAAAGTCTCATTAGACAGTGTGCCATGCTTATAGTATTCACATACCAAATATGAACAAAATCGCTCCACTACTTTTCGAGTTATAGTAAAATACGTTAAAATGGCGGCCATTTTGAAAAATGGCCGCCTTCTACCAAAAGTGTCATTAGACAGTGTGCCATGCTTATACGTATTCACGTACCAAATAGTTAGTTGAGTTATTGCCCGGACGGACGGACGGACGTACGTACGTACGTACGGACGGACGGACGGACGGACGGACGGACGGACGGACGGACGGAGGCGTTCCCTATATCCCTCCGAACTTCGTTCGATGGGATAATAAATAGTAGATTAAATAAATAGATAAAGTAAATTAAGGTAAAAATGAATGATTTAAAAAGGAGGGCCTAAGACAGACACTTGAGGTACTCCACATGTTAGATCAACCAAATAAAACTAACTTTTTAGAAAGAATATCATAGTCCTGCAGAATTCGAAGCAGCATTTCCACTGAATTGAGTTCTCCAATCAGAGATCGGGGCTTGTCACTCTGCGCAAGGCTTATCAGTGCGTAAAGACTGCAGTGGAGAACGATGACATCACTGGATGATAACAAGAGCACCAGTGGCTGAAAATCATGAAACAAACATATATGATGTGTCATTGTCATGTATGATGTGTCATTGTCAGTGTCATTTCTTGCAAGGAACCAAAATTCAAAGATTTGTTTCTTGTGTTGTTGCTTAAATCTATGACATCATTTTTACCCAATAGCGTTCAAAATGTAATCAACTAAAAGCAACTACTTTTCATATCAATTAATACTATTCAAGGGAATTGAAGACAGAAAGGTAAATTTCCGACAGTATAAGATCAATGTCTCGTATATAAGAAATATTTATCATTTAGAATATTTCAAATGTGTTATTACCTTATGAGCGCCACATGCCACTAGTAGCTCCCTCTGGGGAACAACTGCAGAGAGCTTCTGGAATATATCTGAAAATAACCAAAATAAAAAGATGTACATTACATTCAGGCAAAACTGTGATAATAGCATGAACTATAGATATACAAACAATTAGCTCCTTTTAGGTTTCTTTTACACATTGTTTTTCAACAACAAAATTATTTTCAAACGAAGTACTGACATTAAAAAAACTTTTGTATATATTTAGCAGCAGGGTCAAGGAAACAATGACAAAAAAGAATTTTGTGTCCATGGAACATCTTAAAAATTATTTGTAACAAAGCTTTTTGTCAATATCCTTCATTGTGAGCCCTGCTGGGTAACAAGTACAATTAATTAATTTTCAAGTATCACTATGAACACTCACTCGTCATTTCTTTGAGGATATCAACAACATATGGCCCATCCCCATATGTGAGATAGCTATCAGTTGCCTTATGAAAGTGCTCTGTAAGAACTTTCAAGCCCCCGTGGTCAAAGAAGTCCTTCTGGTAAGCGTTGTCCCTCATCATGATCCTGAGACACACTAACACTCGTAGGATATTCTCTGGCGGGGCCCGGAAATTCCATTCTCTGGAAAGGATGTTTCAATCTTTTGAAGTGTGTTCAAACATATAAACATGCAATTTTACTGCATTTACATATTGTACCCTTCTGTGAGCAATTGCTAATAATCCTTTGTAAAACAAAATAAAATTGAAAATTAATATTACGGTGTTTTTTACTCATTGGCTAAGAGATTATCATATTTCAATGGGAAAATATACGAAACATGATTAATTTTATTTTCAAACACTTTCATAGCATGGATCACAGGGATGAAGTTCATATATTAATAACAAGTCGCAATAACAGGTTTAGAAAGATGAAAACAACTTACGTGTTACAAAGTCTTTGTTTGACGAGAGCAGAGAATATTTCAGAGAAATATTTATCTTGGGAATGGCATTTGAAGTCCCGCAGGCTCTGGTACTTTAAGCTGAAAATATGATCAATTTTTAGATGATTAGGTAATTGATTTTCCTGGAAATGACTAGTCTGATTTGGAGAACGAAGTCCATCAGTCTACTGCACATTACGCCTGCTTTGGACAATTTTGATATTTTTACATCTTGTATTTTGAATATTCATAATTTAATTCAGGTGATATTTCTATATTTTTCATAAAAAAATTATTAGCGCAGTACACTGATGAACCTCTTTCTCCAAATCGAGACTTATTGAATCGGTCTACTGCACATTACGCCTGCTTCAGACATTTTTGATATTTTTACATCTTGTAGATTTAAATGTCCTCTCTTGAATATTCATAATTTAATTTGGGTGATATTTCTACATTTTTCATGAAAAAATTATTAGCCCAAACCGAGACTTGTCCTTTGATGTTAAGAGTGAAGCTAAATTAACTTCAGACTAATTACAAAGATGTCACTAGCTACACATATGCTTTTTTGCAAATAGCATTCAAAAATATATCATCAATGAAGGTGATTATAATACAAATGTTCAGGTTGGTCAGGTCAAAAATAGCAAAAAAATGTTTATTTTACTCTGATTCTTTCAAAACATGAGTAAAGTGGCCTTAAGTGACTTTAATTTTTTTGTATTTTAATTCTGGATGTGTAAACAAACACAACAATGTGTAAACAAACACACAATAGTACTTGATTACAAAGTATAATTTTATACAGTTAATATTTTTCAGTTTTGTTTGTTTTTAGTTCTTTTGTCAATTTCAAATTGTATTTTATTATTTTAATAAGATTAACAATGCATTCAATTAAAAGTCAATTATTCTCTACTACCGAATTTGATGAAACATTTTCAAATAAATATATTTTTGAATAGGTGAGATGCATGTATACAAAAATAGAAATAATATTGATTTTCATTGTGAGATTTTCACGATTCAAATTGAAGTCAAAATTTATCACAATTGAAAGCAACATTGGTAATAAAAATCAACTTTGAAGTTTGAATATATTATGTTGAACTGAACTGATGAACTGATTTATTTTACTGAGCACATTTTAAATGTTATACTTATCAAACTCAAAAAGTCTAGATGAAAATACTGTTGTAATAATATTTTTGTTATTGGCAAGAACATTAAAATCTTAAATTCACGATTAGCCTCAACTCCTCCAAGACCTGATTAGCAAATGAAAAATACAAAACTGCTGGCTCAAAACTGGATTGAAAAATGGGCGAAAATAATACCTGATCAGATTTGCAATGAGACAATCATTTTTTATCATTTTTATTGCCTGGGGCTATAATTTATATATAATTGTCTCTTACAAGGCATATTTCAGGTTAACATTCATCTATATTTTAAGATAGTGTTGGCATTTTCATATAATTGTTATTATTATTTGTTTGCAAATCTAAAACATTTTGTTATTATTTGTTTGAACGGTGATGCATCTGTATAGATGGTTGCTATGTAAAATGATACGTTACTATGTAAAATGTCACCATATCAACCTGTGTTATTTAATGAAATGCCTTATATATGATTGATTGGTATAACAGTCTCTTTGTGAATAGATGTGTAATATAACACCAGTTGATGACTAGTTTTCATGAACTCACTCTCAAATATATTTCAGTAGATTGATGCTTTATAATTAAAATATTTCGTCAAGAAAGAAAATATTGAGAAATAGACAAAACATATAAAGTTTGAAATCTTATCATGAATCATAATTATTTAGAAATGAGAAAAAATCGGGAATTAATTTTGACTTCTTAAAAGAAATCATGAAATTAACATGATGGGATAAATGTCATATTCCCTGGTAATGATATATCTTATTGTGAACTTGAATCAACAAAATATTCAGAGGTTATTTCGTTGAGTAGGCATATTCACTGTGTTTGTTACTAGGGTCATTATCACAACATTTATCAAACGTAAAACAAATTATGTAGTGATGTATATTGTTACTCAGCTATAAGTTAGAGGAATTTATCACTTTGCATGTATGAGTCCAATATGAAAAAAAACTAGACTTTGGAAATTGAACAAGTTCAATTTCAGACTCCAGATTTAGACTTTTTAAGCTGAGTCATCCACAATAAGCCAAGTCATCCAGAATAAGCCAAGTCATCCAGAATAAGCTGAGTCATCCAGCATAAGCCGAGTCATCCAGAATAAGCAGGTGGATGGCTGGACTAATGGATGAATGGATGGATTGATAGGAGGAAGGATAGGACAGAATAGGAAGGAAGGATAGGATAGAATAGGAAGAAAGGATAGGATAGTATAGGGTATGAAGGATAGAATAGGATACGATAGATCCGAAGAAAGAATAAGATAGGACAGAATAGGAAGGATAGGATAGGAAGGATAGGAAAGAAGGATAGGATTGGATAGGATAGGTGGGATGGATATAGACGAGTATTCCAGAATAAGCCAAGTCATCCAGAATAAGCTGAGTCATCCAGAATAAGCTGAGTCATCCATAATAAGCCGATGGATGGATGGATTGATGGATGAATGGATGGATTGATAGGATAGGAAGGATAGGACAGAATAGGGAGGAAGGATAAGATATAATAGGAAGGATAGGATAGTATAGGATAGGAAGGATAGAATAGTATACGATAGAATCCGAAGAAAGAATAAGATAGGACAGAATAGGAAGGGTAGGATAGGATAGGAAGGAAGGATAGGATAGGAAGGATAGGAAAGAAGGATAGGATTGGATAGGATTGGATAGGATAGGTGGGATGGATATTATAGTCGAGTCATCCAAAATAGCCAAGTCATCCAGAATAGGCTGAGTCACCCAGAATAAGCCGAGTCATCCAGAATAAGCCGATGGATGGATGGATTGATGGATGAATGGATGAATTCATAGGATAGGACAGAATAGGAAGAAAGGATAGGATAGTATAGGATAGGATAGGAAGGATAGAATAGGATATGATAGAATCCGAAGAAAGAATAAGATAGGACAGAATAGGAAGGATGGGATAGGAAGGAAGGATAGATAGGAAGGATAGGAAAGAAGGATAGGATTGAATAGGATAGGTGGGATGGATATAGCCGAGTCGTCCAGAATAAGCCAAGTCGTCCTGTCCTATCCCTCTTTCCTATCCTTCTTATCCTATCCTTCCTTCCTATCCTATCCTATCCTATCCTTCCTTCCAGAATAGGAAGGAAGGATAGGATAGAATAGGAGGAAACGATAGGATAGTATAGGATAGGAAGGATAGGGAAGAAGGATAGGAATGGATAGGACATACGATAGGATATAGGATAGGATATAGGATAGGATATAGAATAGGAAGGAAGGATAGGATAAGAAGGAAAGGATAGGAAGGAAGGATAGATAGGAAGGATATGATCAGACAGGATAGGAAGGAAGGATGGATGATTTTTTCTATATTTTCTTCGCTACTCTTGACTTTCAATAAGGATATCATCAGATTGATTTTTCTCGAAATTTCAAAACGCCATAACTTTCGAACCGGAAGTCGGATCGAAATTTGATTTGCAGATTCGGATTCCTTAGTAAATTCTACCCTTAATTCATAACCCATATGTTAAATTTGGAGAACTTTTCATTTTGACCTACTTTCTGGACGCCATATTTCAAAATCGGTAAGCGTAATCAAAAATCTAATGTCATATCTTTGCTTTGGCTTTTTCTAAGCTACATGTTGAAAAAAAGATTTAGGAGTTACGATAAACAACGACGAAGATAAATGACAGAATGTTGAAAATGTAAGATTTGACCTAGTTCTTGACCTTTGACCTAGATAAAAATTTGACCCAATTTCCGAGAAACTAGATCTAAGACCTAAATGGACCATATATAAGACTTGACTCAATATCTTCTAGTTAACGAGAAAACTGGGAAAGAATAATAAGAAAAAGAATAATAAAGAATACTGACGAAAACAATAGACTCCAGATTTACATCTGGAGTCTAATAAAATAAAACACATTATTTTGTGCAGTAGTACTTTGAAGCTACTTTTAACCTTTTTCATATGCTCACTGATTATATTTGATGCCAATGATGCTGAATTCAGATGGAATAAGATAATAAAAAATAGATTCGTAGTGTTTGTAACAACTTCATTATCTTGAACTATTTCATTACCTAGCCTATTCCATTTCCTGGACTATTTCATTATCTAGACTATTCAATTTCCTGGACTATGTTGCTACCTGTACTATTTCCCAACCTGAACTATTTCATTTCCTGAACTATTTCATTTCCTGAACTATTTCATTACCTGGACTATTTCATTACCTAGACTATTCCATTTCCTGGACTATTTCATTACCTAGACTTTTCCATTCCCTGGACTATGTCATTACCTGTACTATTTCATTACCTGAACTATTTCATAACCTGAACTATTTTCTTACCTGAACTCTCATTACCTGAACTATTTTCTTACCTGAACTGTTCTAGGGCAAGTGCCTCTGTAGACTGATGCTGGTGGGCCCCACCCTTGGGTTGAGGAGCTGGCCATTGTAGAGACTTCTTCACCCCAGAACCTTCAAGGTCAAAGTCAAGTGACGGCAACTGCAAAACAATACGAACTGGTTAATGAAAACTTAGAATGAAATCTTGTGGTAAGGGCTGATGTGAAAAATCAGTCCACCCTAGGAGATCGAACAAAGGACCCATCCCTTTCTGGACAAGTGCTCTTAATATCATTTATTAGTTTAAAAATGATACTGAATGTTTCAGTTTCATTTCATTGAGTCTTGAAGAGACAGTTTGTGTTGGGGAGGGGGGGGGGGGTTTACACGAGTTTGGTGCAAGACAAATTATTTACTGATAAAATATTCAAATCTGTACACAAATATGTATATTAATACTTGGAGAATGATTGTTTGTTTGGTTGGTTGTCTGTTTGCTTGTTTGTTTGTTTATTTACCTGTTGTTTGCTGGCTGGAGTATTGAGCAGATTTAGGAGGCGACATAGTTCCTTGGCTTCTCTGAAAATACAAAAAAAAAAAATTAATTTATCTATATCTAAACATTTATATCTATTATGCTGCGGTAAACTACTCACCTATGCCATGAAAACAAACCATTAATACAAAGCAATATTGTATTGAGCCACCCCACCAAGCATTTCCCTGCAGCCTATCTGCAATTATTTACCTATTTGGAGAATGGAATATAAATAATGGATTATAGAGGCTTTGATTTAATGGTACACTATTGTAACGACCCTTGGGCAGGCTCGTCGGGGAGCTGTAGTGTACCGAGCCAGATACTAGACTCGAAAGAGAATGTGCTAAATTCAATGCCCCGTACGGGAATCGAACCCAGGACCTACCGCTCTCGAGTCAGACGCTCTACCCCTGAGCCATAAGGGCTAGCCACTACAGCTGAGACTGTAGTAGCGACTTGCTATCGAAGGTCATTACACTATTTCTAGCTGAATTTCAGGAAAATAACAGGATGTTATTGAAATTATACCCTCAATATGTACCAATAAAAACCATATACAGTATAGAGGTGGATATCAAAGTTGCTTTATCTTTATCACTTGTGATTGATCAGCCTTCAGAGAAATTCCCGTAATTAATACATTCAAACGATTTCGGTCGGAAAAGTCAATGTTACATGACGTTGTGGGGATAATAAATCAGTAATAAAGAGCTGCGTATTGTTCCTGTTCAGAATTGCTATACAGTTGGAATTATTACCACATCAATGGTTCTTGCAGAATAATTGATTTGAATCTGTATGGAATTTCAATAAATAACGAATCAAACTTTCTAATAATTCTAAAAATGAGATATGAATAGGCCAGTATTATTAGTATCTTGAATCTGTTTGTTTTACGATATTTGTTTGGGAATATTTTGTGCCTTGCTTGTTTGATCAAACATGTGTTTGTCTGTGGACTGATGGGCTTTTTGACATATTCTGATTTTGATTTTTAGTATTTTTTGTTTTCTCACTATCTTATATGTTTCTAAGGTTTATTTTAGTTGTCAGATTATTTTGTTCTTATTTTCCTTGTAATGCCCTCCTTTTTTTTATGAAATACAAAGTAGAAATGTTTTTTTTTGGTACCGCTGGTGAAACATATGAAAATACAATTTAGTCGATCAACAGTTCATTTGTTGTGTAGGATCAGGAATTCAATAGATATGTATGTCATAAATAATAGATTGGCACTTAGTTGATAACTAATCTTATGCTGCATCTTAATCTAAGATCCCTAATACATTGCATGTCATGTAAAACTTGTATATCTGAACACCTGAATTCTTGAATATGAACATCTATCTATGCAGACCCTTTTTGGTCCCATTTTATTTAATCAGACATAGATAAGTAATTGCTAAAAATCCTTGAATGATGAACAAGAGCTAATTTGAACATTTTCAGCTAGTTCCAATAGCATCCTGATTAGCCAGGTTTTTCTGTATTCTATCTTATTAGAACCATTACATCAATATGCCTGTTGTTATCTACCCTATTGTCTTCTATTCATACAGAAAATTGGCCGATATCTTCTCTACCTTTTCAATCATCATTCCCTCAGCATTAGCATTATCATGAAAAGCATCAATCTTCTAGGTGAATAGCAACCTTATGAGAATAAACCAAATACTGTTGTACTAATGTACAGTAAAACATCTTAACTGTCTAACCCGAATCCCATTGAGACCAGCAAAATGTGATCTGACTAGCAGGTGTTCATATTTCAAGGTTCTTTAATATGGTCTATGGTACTATTGTTCAGCTTAGCAAGTGGCAATTAAAAATATGACCAAAACAAATTTTACGTGAGTAGTGTTCAGATTAGAAAGGTGTTCAGATATACAGGTTTTACTGTTCCTTTGGTTGTATGAAATAACCTGATGGATCAGAATGGATGAACCATGTCATCGCCTTTCTTCTTATTATCACCCCTATATAGCTAAGAGAGTTTGGGTGCATCAGAATCACAAAACCAAAAGAGAATTAACTTATAAATTAAAATTACGCGATACACCAATCCCCCAAAAATCATTGGAAAATCATCAGAAACCAAAAAATATTTTGAGTACAGAAATGTTTTGGACTTATCGATTACAATATAAAGAGCGGAAATCATATGATATCAACTCCTAAATCATTAGGAAAATCACTAGAAATACCCAAAAATGTTAAATTATTTGGGTACAGGGTTTATTGATTATAATATTGCATGTATGATACACCTTTGGGGAATGCCAACATCGATCATAACAGATTGACATGAGACATGACATTAAGGAAATAAAAGCTACCACTCTATTAGACACCTGATGATAAGCTACATTAATGCAACAGCCAAATCCTGTTCTGTTAAATACATTTATTTTACAAAAGCTTTTTTGCCCTTTTCATTGGTGCGAGGGTTGTCCCAAGAGTCTTGAAATTTTTCTTAAACTTTCTTGAATATTCATACAATATATTTTAGGATTCCAAAACATTACATTTTAGGTGTCACAGTATTTTTCTGGAAGTATTTATTTTTCCAGATGTGTACATGATTATAAATGTGAATGTTCGATAAATCGTATCTCTGATAATCTGTTTTAAATCTTTATTGTCAATCAATTCCGTAGCATTAGTACTTAAATAAATAAATAAAAATATAGTTCAATAAAAAAGAACTTGTTATGACGAGGAACTATAATGAAAATATAAGACAATTGGTAAAATTATTCATGAAATATCACAAATAAACCAAATCACAGAACACCTAGCTCTACAAATCCATCTCGATATTTGAGAAAGTTCTCAATTATATTTCAGAAGCTTTGGACATAGGAATGAATCTATATTTCATGGAATATTTGATTAGATATCAAGTTTCACCATCCAATAAAAAAGAGAATTGTAATTATTTTGACTAAATATTCTAACTGTAACTATGATACTCTGTAATTATGGAAGAAACAGAACTTTCTTCGATAAATCAATAAAAATATGATGCACTTAATAACACAATAAAATTAATCTGAAATATACCAATGAACGCATAAATATAATTCTACATAATAGGTAAGCCTTCATTAATGCACAGTAAAGCATAAATATTGATTGGTTTATTATGAATAAACCACTGAAATCTACGATGTTGTCCCCGACATCAGGTAAGGAGAGCAAACAAATGACCTGAGTAGGACACCCTTGCGTAACACCAACTTCGATTGTCAATAAAAAGAATTTGTGTCTCTGCTTTTCTATGTTAATTAATATTTTGTTCAATTTACAATTGTACTAAAAAATTTCTAGATGAATGGATTGCATTTCATAATATTATTTCCATTCATTTGATTACATTTTATAGATTTTTTTCAAGGGGTTATACTTCCAGGGTGCTTAGGGTGACAGGGGTCTTATTACAGTATTGAGGATATTTATGAATGAATTATTGATCCTTATCTTTAGAATTATAAAATAAAAATAAAGATGGTTTTCTCCAATTTTGCCTCGGTATTTACCTCAATAAAAAAAGTTCACCCAACTTATTAGAAACAACAACCGTGTCATTTTGAGAGAAAATTGCAACAACTTCATGAATTTTTTAAGTTTATTGATAAATTCGAACAGCTGATTAGGCACTAAATTGTGATACAGGGGTATATTGATTATGTAAGGGTGTATGAGAATGCAGCATCAGATCAATAAACACTGCTTTGTGAGGTAGTATATCTTTACCTCAGGATACAGTTTCCGGGTAACATACAGTAGAACCTGTATATCAGAACACCTGTCTTATCTGAACACCTCTCTATATAAATGAATGCTTATTTTCAGTCCTCTTAATTTGACATAAACTTTCATATAAAAAAAATGTGAATACATGCTTATTTGAACTTGGACAGCTAGCCCTTTTGGTGTTTCGGATAAGAGGTGTTCGGGTATACAGGTTTTATTGTTAGTACCTCAATTGAAATACTCGATTTTGATTGGTCAACGAGCGGTGAATAATTTTAACTGTACACCGCGCAATGCATTGCCGGTGAATAATATTCCCAGCATTCCATTAAAATGACGTCATTATCAGACGATAAAATGGCCGCCGCTAGCACTAGCCATTTCAAAAATGTTGAAGATGAGGATATTATTATTATTAGTCTCTTAGAGAGTAAAGACAGTCAAAATGCGAAGAAAAATCTAAAACTTTGTACAAAGCTTTTAGTGGACTTCGCCCAGGAGAGTAATTTGACTCCATTGAGTGAACTTAAGCCTACTGCCGATATACTGAAATACAACATGAACGTCTCGAGGGTCTGGATCCAACTTCAAGTCAACTTCAAGGGTCAGAAAAATCTAAGATATTCTTCGGACTAACAAAACAATTATAGACCTCTCCATTCGGTTTACTTTCAAAATTATATCCCTCGACTGTAAACCTTGACCTACGGTCTCGGTTTACAGTCTCGGGATATAATTTTGACAGTAAACCTCTAGAGAGGTCAATAATTGTATACTGTATACTGCTTTATCTGGTAGTATGTCTTACTTGGAAATACAACTCCCAAGGTATCATACTTCAAAAAAGATACAGAAATATGCCAAGGAATATGAAAGAAGTGGAGTCGAACTAAGAAATAGAATCCAAATCTGGTATGAAAGACGAGAAAATAGGCCACATTTCAAGAGTAAAGGATGGCTATACTATTGTGGTCATTTATAATTTATGAATAGGTATCACTAGTTAATACCAGTACAGAACATTGATAAGGATATTGATTCTTCACTTTCTAAATGCCAATACACCAAGGGAACTTGTACGCAGATAGTAGTTAAAAGAAATTGCTCAAAAGTCAAACGTGCATTCTGTTTTTTGGGGCCCCTTTTTGTCTAACTCTTCCATAGATTAGTGGAGTGTTGAGCCCATAAATGCCAAAATATGGGTTGTGAGATTTAAATAAACACACGAATAACAAAACTTGGAATTAAAGCCTGATTTCATGTCTTAAAGCTAAGGAATTGTGGCTAATAATGCTTTAAGCCCAGCCGCAGGACTATATTGTACTGTTTATATTATATTAATGAATAAATAAATAAATATAAAAAAAAAAGCTAAGGAACAATCCTTTAGTTTTTATTGATCAACTCATCTTTAATTCACAGTTTTAATCCAGAATAATTATTGTTTTTCACATTTTTAATGTTGACAGTTTATAGTTTTTATAAGTGACACATATATAATTGGTTTAACAATGTATGTCACATTATTAATTGATTGATTAAAACTATGAAGAATGTTTCAGTACACTCAATAATTAAATGTGACATAAAAGGAATACTTTTAATTAAACAAACAAACAATGATATTTTCTACAAGATGTCAGCTAGACTATTCACATCAAACAGTCTTAAGTTTTTCTTTTTTTCACACAATGCGAAACTGTTAGGTTTTTATGATTAGGCTATCACTTTTTGCAGCATTCTCCACAGAATTTTTTCTCAAGTGGCTTGAAAATTCTCATTTTCACAATTCAGACTGAATTTGGTCAAAATATGCATATTTTCAAGATTTTTGAGATTTTCAAGTGGGTGCATGCAAATAAAGCCTATTTTTAAAATCTCAGGTGGGTGTTGCACCTACTTGCTTTAAATCACTGAAATGTATTTCTAAAATTGCTCAATTTTTTTTTTGTTATTGTTGCAGCTGACTACAAGAAATGAAAATGTTGAATTAAGTCAAAAACTTTCAAAAACAAACCGTTTACTTGGTTAAAACAAAGCCCAAAAATGACTGCCTTAAATTTAACCCACCATGGCCAAGATCTACTCACTTCTAGATTTTCATACCAAGAAACACCCCTTAAAATATTCGAAAATCCTTCATTATCGTTAATAATTATACCGTTATTTTGAATTCATAGATTTCAGATTTATCAATCAGTTGTAAGTCAAACATCAAATACTATTATGAACTACAATTTGTACTAACAGATAAAGCAATAGACAGAAGCTAAAGTCAAACATCAAAATTAGCTTGACACGGAATTATTATGAATTCACTATCGTTATCATATATCATAAATGACATTGTGTAATCTACTCTCGCTTATCAAAATGTGGTCATGTGACTTTTTACCTGATTTTAGAGGTATATGTAATATTAGTTTTAAGGGTCATGATTAAATTAATTCGGTACCACTTGGAAGTCATTGTTCATTAAATATGACATTAATTGTCTAAAAATTGTAAAAAATCAGCCAAGTTGAAATTTAGCATGAAGAAAATGAACTGCATCAACAAGAAACAAAACGCTAACAGGTAGAATTTATATTGATATACACTCTCTTGTGTAAAATAAGGTAAACTCTTTCATGAATTCCCATATTATCTTCAATCAAGTGCCAAACATTAAAAAACCTCATGGTTGAGAATTTGAATATGAATTTTCATCACACGAAATGAAGATAGATATAAAGAGAGAAATACTTACAATTTCTGTAAATACACTGAACCTTACACTACTATATAAAAATATGGAAAAATAAACTTTATGAGAAAATTACCAAGTTTAAGAAATATAACTGAGCTGTATTTCTCACAAAGGTAATCACTAGATATTGAAAACAATTTTCCTGAAAATTGTTGGAAAAGTATTCCTGAATCAATATTACTGGCACATTCAGCAAATAAAATGTTAACATTGTTAATACTTTGTAAAAGCAATTAAAGCATAACGGAAATTAACAAACCAAAGATAATATTTACTTTTGGAAGAAGTATCATTTTATTGATATAAGACCTGTATAGGAATTTTGTTGTTTTATTGATAGTTTGCATGCTTGATTCTTGATTGATTGATAAGTTGATTGATTGTTGATTTTTTGATTGTTGATTGATTGATTGTTGGTATATTGTTTGACTGACTGATTTATTAGTTGCTTGGTTGATTGTAGATTGATTGATCGATTGCTGATTAACTAATTAAGTATATGGAAAAGATACACAAATACATCATTTGAGATAAAATGATCTATATAATAAGTTAGAATGAGCAATCTTAAATCTTGTACACATGTAGTTTCACATCAGCAAAAGTCTGATTTATCGTCATTAATCCCCACAAGACATATTTTTCTATAGATCCCACTTATCTTACTTACCAATGTGTGTTATATGATTAAAGACACTCAGATAATTCACACTTATCACGGACAGTGACATTGTAGACCATTAAAGGATTAGAATGACATAGAGAATATGTAATGACAGATAAAGAAAGATAGAGAGCTAAAATCAGCCTTTAAAACCTTTAATTATCAGAACGTTGCCATATTTCTACCTTAATATACAATGTTTGATGTTCATTTTGGTAATAAACCTGAACGTAGACTGATCAGGAAAGATAAAGAGGTAAAATCGGCCTTTAAGACCAGAGCATTTTTCGTTTTTTGCATATTTCTACCTTGATATTCAATGTTTGATGTTCATTTTGATAATAAACCTGAACATAGACTAAGGTTAGATTACACATACTTTAATACATATTTTGAGTAAATTGAACATGATTTGTCAAAAAGCCATAATAGTGAGAAATTTTGTGACAGATATATCCATCACCCTGGTTCTTCAAGGGGTTAACATTTGGTTTCGATGCAACCTTATATGGAGAGACGTGAATAACACTTCAGCAAGGAATGAAGCAAATTGATTGCTACATTCATCCTCAAAATTATTCTACTGGATTCTAATAATAATTTTATATATCTAGATTAAGTGTTTGTGTTACTTTGGGAAAAACAAATTTCTTATCTTCTATTTTCTGTTAGAGATATCATGAGATTTTGTAAATGTTGCTAAATGCCACTTTGATAAAATTAAAGGTCAGAGAATTACAACTTTGGTTTACAAAAAACACAGAAATGACTGTGTTATATTTGGGATTAAGACCATGGGTGGTAATAAAAAGTAAATATAAAAAGCAGGCTTAATGAATTAAGTTATGACAATACAGTAATTATTAAATTATGGGCCCATCGTATCTTTATTGCCATATGCACGCTGTAAACAAGTTTTAATGAAAATATCTAAAAATAATTTACTTACAGATCTGGGTCAGTGGATTTCTGACCCTGCTTGTCCTTCTCTTTAGAAGGCATAGCCTTGGGGTCTAGCCCAGGGGGTCTAGCCTGGGGGTGAGGAAACAATGTCCTTATATGGTATACTAGCTACATGATTGGCCTGCAGGTTCCCTCCTTACATCTCTGGAGAATCTGAAAATAGAAATATTCTCTTGTAATTCATTCTGCTATAAAATTCTATGTATCATATCATGTTATATTACAGTGTACGTACAGCATGATACTATTTCGCCTTTCTATATAGGTGTCTCCATATGCTTAGAATAACACTTTGCTCATGAGGATATCATATCCTTCCTCTCAGAAATGATTGATTCTTTAATTCTATCAGATATCTACCTAGTTGATGACAGTGGTCAATTTACTACAGGCGCATCTAACAGATCCCAAATTAATAGGTAATCCTGTTGACTAGATCTATCATTATAATCCTTATACATGTATATCATTTATTCCACCCCTGGCTAGATTTATACCATGAATCATTATATCCTTATGTACTTCTTTATCCTTCCTTGTTTCTGAAAATTAATTTTCAACAGTGTTTTATCAGTAAAATCTCAGCTGACAGTCTTCTCTAAATTACTGATTTGCTTGGTAAGTAATGTATTGATTATCCTAACTAAGGTTCTTATACGCTATTATCCTTATACAATATGGATTATTGCATTAATTAAGCCTGGATCCTTAATAAGATATATTCAGTAAAACCTGTATATGTGAACACCACACCGTCTTATGTAAACACCTTTTAATATAAACACCTCTTAATGTGCAAAACTTTTTGGTCCCATTAATCTGCCATAGACTTTCATGTTAAAAAAAACTAAGAAAATGTGAGCATTTGCCGATCTGAACACTTTTGGCCTGTTCCAGTAGTATTTAGATAAGACAGATTTTAATGTATTTAGTTCTAGTATAGATATTTCTTAAGAATATGATTTCACTTAAGGAATGTCAGTTTAAAGAGAACCAATTATAATGAGAAAAAAAGCATTAATTTTACTTACTGACAACTTGCACGAAATGGTAAAAATATCCCCAATTGTCTACGATATTACCTCATATTTCCATGTATCTTCAATTACAATGACATTTCCAAGTAGAAGTATAATACCAGTTCAGTTACAATTTACATTTATAATTGATCCTAACTGTAATCTCATTACATATGTACATACATTCCGCACTTTCAAACTAATATATATATATCTCATATATAATTTACTAATTATCATCTACTAATTCATTTTCCTGCTTACATAACTCTATTGCCGCCTAACATTAATGATTCATTATTTATTATTGAAAGTAGAACTATTTATTGATCATTTTGTGGAGTTGATCGACGACAAAAACACTTCAGACAGATCCTATATGTGGTAACGAATGAGTCCTGTACTAGAATCACAGAAATAAATGAATTTGTTGTTTACAGCCCTACTATATTCTGAGGTAAATAAATGTATGTTTGACATATTCTTCCTCTTCTATTTCAAACCATATGAAAACAAGACCCAAGCAGGATTTACAGAAATAGACCATAGATCTAGGATATTTTATTTATGATCTATTGTACATATTTGTAGATATTTGGAACTTTATTCACTCCTATCCTATATGCAAAACCTAAATTATGCAAATCCTAATTAATGCAACACCTGAATAATGCAAAACCTAAATAATGTAAACCCTGGGATTAACACATTATCTCCCCCTCCAGGCGAAACATAAAATTTCATTGCTCAATCCTTCATAAATGAACTCCAGATCATCATATTGTATTCTATGTACGTCATTATATTGTCAAGATTCGTAATAGCATGTTGAGTGGTAAAGGAAGGTAAAATATCTTGTTTCTCCTCTCGGCGCTATTATTTATTTGACATTCTATTTGTTATTGATTTGATCCTATTGTCTTTTCTGAAGTACTTAGTATTTACCTGGCAGTGTTTTATGAGCAAAGGGGAACTCTAAAATGTACTCAACTCACCCAAAAACAGTTCAACAGCTCAATGTGCCACTTAACAGCTGTGTGAAGATGGCTAATAAATATTATTTACATACTATCCTTTCTAATTGTTTGTTTTTGGTTTTGTAAAAGTGAGCTTCATGGACTTACAAGTCTTTGTAGTCCTCAGGATGATATTGCTCAAGTTAGCACTTGACTTTATTCTCTTTCTAGTAAGAGAAGAACTTTCCTATTCAATTTGATAGCTATCCATTCTAGGGCCTCCAGGGGCTCCAGGAAGTAAGATAACCTTAGTTTTGAAGATAAGCCCGAGAGTTTTGATATCGCCACTGTTATATTTCACCACTAGATTCTTTAAATCACCACCAGAGTTTCTATATCACCACTAGAGTTCCTGTATAAAGTCTCTATATATTTCTATTGAGTCTTTCACTGCTGGATTTTTATATCATTACCATAGTTTCTAGATAACCACTAGTGTCTCTATATCACTAGAATCTGTGATCACCACTAGAATCTGTGATCACCACTAGAATCTGTGATCACCACTAGAATCTGTGATCACCACTAGAATCTGTGATCACCACTAGAATCTGTGATCACCACTAGAATCTGCGATCACCACTAGAATCTGTGATCACCACTAGAATCTGCGATCACCACTAGAATCTGCGATCACCACTAGAATCTGTGATCACCACTAGAATCTGCGATCACCACTAGAATCTGCGATCACCACTAGAATCTGTGATCACCACTAGAATCTGTGATCACCACTAGAATCTGCGATCACCACTAGAATATCTATATCACCACTAGAGTCTATCACAACTGGATTCTTTATGTGTCCATGCCATCACCACTAGCTCTATATGTTAACAGTATTCAATCTCTCAAGTTCTAGTTACCAGAGAGAATTACTTGTATATATTTTAACCTCTAATAGTATCTAGGTTGAGTAATGCTGAGTAATGTTAAAGTAGGTGTGTGAAAGAAATACCCCATGCAGCAAGCAAGAATATCAAATAAAGCAGCTCTGTTTTGTAAGATTTATTTTTGCTTTCCTGATAAATTGGTTTTCCTCTTTTTCTGGATTGTACCTTTAAGTATTCTGATGCGAAAAATTTGAGGTGTTCAAATTTTGGCAAGATGTAATAAAATTGAAAACAATGTGTTCAAAATTTGGATCAAGGTGTTCAGATTTGGACCAAGGTGTCCACATTTTGAGGGGAGGTGTTCAACATTTCCAAGTCACTCATGTTAGGTGTTCTCAAGTTGACAGGCCTGCAACATACCCCTACCAATTAGGACGGCCATGGCCTATGCAGCCAATGTAATCTGAGGATGAGTTATTGACATTCAAAGGATGAAACAGACTGTACAATAATTGGGTGATAAGTGGACCACGTTTTAATTCCTGTAAATTGGGCCTTTTTACAAGACACTACATACAACCTGCTGTATCATATTACAATCACTATGACCTCAAATGGATCTTTTGGCATTTTTGCTTTATAATCACTATCACATTCACCAGCCAGTATTTACTTGAGTGTGTGTGGGATAGAGGGTGTCTATTACAAGACATTTCAACCTGCCATATTATGTCTACCTTAACAGCATAAAGGTGCAGGAATGGCTATATCGTTGTATAGCGATATATATCGTCTCTCAGACGATATATTCGTGAAACTATCCTCAAATCGAAATATATCCGATATATATCTCTGGGGTAGGATATATATCGAATATATCGTGTATATCGTGTATATCGTCATCCATAAATATAAGAACTTTTTAACAAACTTCTGTATTGAAGATATATATCGGATATATATCTTGAAGACAGGATATATATCGATTATAGCGTATATATCGTGTGTGTATCGCTCTATATCTAGGAGAGAGGATATATATCGTGTATATCGTTATCATGTGTATATCGCTCTATATCTTGGAAAGAGGATATATATCGAATATATCGTGTATATCGTCATCCATAAATATAACAACTTTTTTAACAAACCTCTGTATTGAAGATATATATCCGATATATATCTTGAAGACAGGATATATATATATTAGCGTATATTTCGTGTTTGTATCGCTCTATATCTAGGAAAGATGATATATATCGAATATATCGTGTATATTGTGCTTGTAAAATAGGGTATTCGATATATATCCTGTCTTCAAGATATATATCGGATATATATTCCCAGTTGACAATTTTGTTAAATCAGTTCTTATATTTTTCAATCATGATATACATGATATATTCGATATATATCCTCTTTCCAAGATATAGAGCGATATACACACGATATATACGATATATTCGATATATATCCTCTTTTCAAGATATTCAGGATTAGAGGGATGATATCAGGGATGATATTGATATCATCCCGGGTATATTAAATAATTTTACATGTTTTCCAAAAAATTCATTTTCAAAAATTTTCAGTTTTTCACAAATTTTCATATTTTCAAAATTTTTCATTTTTTCCAAAAAATCGTGTTTATCTTCGTTAAGTATCTTGATATCAAGACAAATATCAAGTAGGTATTTTTTTCACAAATTAAATTGATTTCCAAAAATGAGTTTTTTCCAAAACAGAGTTTTTTTTAATTTCATTTTTTGATTAAAATTATCTTCACATTTTAATTTCTTTAAGTATTATGTTTTTCTTGCCCTTATACTTAATTTCTCAATGTACTTGGGAGTAGGATATACACTCTCCTCCATAAGTTTTACAACCCTAACCCCCTCATTGAACTACATATTAAAGCCTCTTTTTGTTTGAATTTTTATTAACATGACCTGTGAGGAAAATACATATTGTATTGATGGAAATGTAACTTGACTTCATTTCCAATGCCTCCAAGGTTTCCCAATTTTTTCCTCAATCACAATAGGTCGAAAATTGATGATAAACTTTATGAATTTGTGAAAATCGTCATTCCCATGTAAACCAATGGAAAATGGTGGGTTTGGGGCAAATCTGATTTCAGGGTATCTAACCAGTAAAAGACTCATCTAGAATATTTTTATAATTATAGAAAATTGAATTGTCTACTCTTTGTACTCTAAGTGTTCAGTTTACTTTATGAATACTTAAGAAACAGAAAAATAAATTTGACTTTGAAGACCTATAACTTTTTAAAACTGAGGAAACATATCAAATTTTTATTAAACAAAGTAAGCAAATACAATTTTGGCCACCTAACTTGTAATTTTTTGGGAGAACTCAGATGGATAAATATTCTGTCATATGACTTGCGGCAAACCTACCATTTCCCATTGGTTTACATGGAAATGTCGAGTTTCCAAAATTCATCAGATTTATCATCAATTTTCAACCTATTGCAATTGAGGAAAAGAATTGGGAACATATGGAGGCATTGGAAATGCATTAAATTACATTCCCATCAATATTATAAGTATTTTCCTCGCAGGTAATGGAAATAGAAATTCAAACATAAAGAGGCTTTAACACGTAGTTCAATGAGGGAGCTAAGATTGCCAAACTTATGGAGGGCAGTGTATGTAACGTAAATATTTTTAAGATTCAATCCTTTTTTCTCTCATTCAACAGAAGATTTTGGGTAGATGTTGCTCTTGACCATGGTATAAGGTCGTTATTCATCTGTCTGGATGATATGGGTAATATCCCTCGGATGATATCGATATTTCCCTCGGATGATATCGACATTTCCCTCGGTCACTACGTTCCCTCGGGATATTGATATCATCCTTGTGGTATTCCCCATATCAAATCCCTCCTGGTAAATAAGTACTTTATATCTTGGAAAGAGGATATGTATCGAATATATCGTGTATATCGTGTATAGCGTCGTGTATAATTTTAAGAACTGATTCAACAAACCCTGTATTGGGGATATACATTGTATATCCAATATATATCTTGAAGACAGGATATATATATCCTATATAGCGTATATATCGTGTGTATATCGTTTTATATCTTGAAAATATGATATATATCGAATATATCGTGTATATCGTGTATATCGTCATGAATAATTTTAAGAACTAATTCAACAAACCCTGTATTGGGGATATATATCCGATATATATCTTGAAGACAGGATATATATATCGAATATAGCGTATATATCGTGTTTATATCGCTCTATATCTTGAAAAGAGGATATATATCGAATATATCGTGTATATCGTGTATATCGTCGTGTACAATTTTAAGAACTGATTCAACAAACCCTGTATTGGGGATATATATCCGATATATCTTTAAGACAGGATATATATCAAATATAGCGTATATATCTTGTGTATATCGCTCTATATCTTGAAAAGAGGATATATATCGAATATATCGTGTATATCGTGTATATCGTCGTGTATAATTTTAAGAACTGATTCAACAAACCCTGTATTGGGGATATATATCCGATATATATCTTGAAGACAGGATATATATATCGAATACAGCGAACATATCGTGTGTATATCGCTCTCTATCTTGGAAAGGGGATGTATATCGAATATATCGTGTATATCGACATGGATAATTGTAAGAACTGATTCAACAAACTCTATATTGAGGATATATATCCGATATATATCTTGAGCACATGATATATATCGAATATAGCGTATATCGTGTGTGTATCACTCTATATCTTGAAAAGAGGATATATATCCAATATATCGTGTATATCGTGTATATCGTCATGGACAATTGTAAGAACCGACTCAACAATCTCTGTATTGGGGATATATATCCGATATATATCTTAAACACATGATATATATCGAATATAGCGTATATATCATGTGTATATCGCTCTAAATCTTGGAAAGAGGATATATATCGAATATATCGTGTATATCGTGTATATCGTCATGGACAATTGTAAGAACCGACTCAACAATCTCTGTATTGGGGATATATATCCGATATATATCTTAAACACAGGATATATATATCAAATATAGCGTATATATCATGTGTATATCGCTCTAAATCTTGGAAAGAGGATATATATCGAATATATCGTGTATATCGTGTATATCATCATGGATAATTGTAAGAACTGATTCAACAAACCCCTGTATTGGGGATATATATACGATATATATCTTAAAGACAGGATATATATAGCAAATATAGCGTATACATCGTGTGTATATCGCTCTATATCTTGGCAAGAGGATACATATCGAATATAGCGTGTATATCGTCATGGGTAAATGCTAGGAACATGATAAAATCTGGAGAAGTATATCTGGCCAGATTTTATATAGCCTTATATATCGACGATATATATCGAATATATCACATGTAAGTCAATGAGAGGCAGTATAGCGATATATATCGCTATACAACGATATAGCCATTCCTGCACCATTCTCCTTAACAGTTAGATCACCATGTTTTCCACCCACATCTACTGAGCCACACCATTGATAACACAAAAGTCAGACTTCTATTTTAGCAAGTTGATACCAGTGTCTTTACTGGATTCTATCCGCCAATGGTCTAAAAGTGTTTCACTCCAGCAGAAGAAAGGACCCCCCCCCCTGATGTGAGAAACAGATTATACATATTGGGTCTCATTCTATAAGGACCAGTATATCTTCAAATTGAACGGACTCTGTAGCTACCCTGATCTCCACCAGGCTCACCAGCTAGTCATCCCTCTGACTATTACAGCTGAATTTGATGTTACAGTTTTGAAGCTGATTCGATCTCAATTATTTTAAATGTAGCTCTTCTGCTTTGTAGTAGTTTAAAAGTAAAACACAAGCTCCTCATAGGCAGAAAATGTAATATCATATGATCTCATAATTTAACTTGATTGGTAAGATCAAAGTACTTTATCTATTTTGAAGAGTTAAGGGAGTGTGAAGGTATTGCCAAGGGTTATGATTCAGATACCTCTGATTCTTAGAATCTTGGAAACTTAATATTCAGAAAATTGAATTGTTTACACCATGTAGACCTCTAGTTTAAGTACTGATCAACAATCTCTATAAAATAAAAGACCTGGAACTTTGTTAACCAAGTAGCTATGTAAATAATAAAAATACCACACTTAATTGAGCATATTTTCCAAATACTATAGCCTTTTTATATAAACAGAGCACTTTAGATAAACGACAGAATCTTTCTATAAAAGACCTGGAACTTTTAACTATGTAAATTAAAGTTCGAACCACAATTATAG